ACACCTGTGATGTGTGTTCAGCATGGAAAACCTAGGGGCAGATGCACACCTCAGTGAGAATGGGTGGCACTATTCAATCAGAAAGCCCCTGAGCTTCGAACACCTACTAGTATGAAGTAGGACACCTACTAGTGTGTTGAACACCTAGCTGTTGAACACCAAGGACACCTACTTCATACTAGTTCACCTACTTCATGTCAGGGGACGCAGTCAGGGTCCAGCCGTGTTGGACCCCTTCAATGCTCCAATCAACGGTCGAAAACAACACCGGTCACTCCTTCAGAATTCCCCATCTGAGATCCATCGAAGGTCCCAACGAGCCCCAAGAGCCCCAAGAACATGTGTCAGGTCAGCACATGTCACCAAGGTCCAACCCATCCAAATCGATCAAGGTCACCGGGCAGAAGATAAGGGGATTCAGAAGTCGGACGTCTCGCTGGACCCAGACCACATATCAGCTCGTCACCAGCTCCCACATTGGAGCTCCCTCCATGCACTTCCCCTAGACTTCCCTTCTACCTCTTTGATCGGTTCTCAGAGCCTTCCAAAAAGGAAACCACATGAGACAATGGATCTCATGGGCTTTGCCTCAACACGTGAGAGAGAATGGGTTTCTCCCTGGAAAGCCATTGGAGAGCGACCATCGGCCCAAAATCTTCGACTTTCACCCTACTCGACCCATCCCAACCCCTCCGACCACTGGCCCCTGCCAAAAAATAACAATAAATAAATAGTGGTGATAATAATAAGAGTCATAAGAATAAAACAATTAACGCTCCAAAACGCTTTTCCCCCCCACGACACGACGCCAACCACCACCACACCACACCACCGCTCCAGGATGAAGCCGTCCAGGTTCTGCAGCGAACGATTCACCTTAGAAACAAGAAGCTACTAGGAACAAGTGCATCGCTACTAGTAACAAGTGCCTTACTAGTAGAAACAAGAAGCTATTAGAAACATCTCTCCTGAGGAGACGAGTCCCGCGCGGCGTGGGTCGTTGCGGGTCGTGTCCGGAGAGGGATGAAACGAATGCACGGCGTGCAGAGCTGGGGAGTATGGCTCTGTCAATGACACATGAACACTTGGTGTTTAAGGCTGAAAGAAGAAATGATCATATGATATGGGAGTACTAAGGCAGTGCCTGGCAGTGTTTTTGAACATGTTTCATTGATGTTTCATGTACACTCCAACGAACACACGTGTTTCGTGGAAAACGGTCCACTTCCATGTCCCTTGCGGTCACTGCTGACACAGGCATCTGGGTCGGGCACGGCTCCCAAGGTAGAATTCAACCTAGTCTTTGACCTCCTTAAGTCCTTAAGTAAGTAGTGTTTTTGTATGACCACGTCCAGTAAAACGAGGTCATTGACCTGTAGGGTAATAGTGGTTCAACATCTTGAAAATAGGAAAGGGTCCATGTGTTTCTCTCTCTCTCTCTCCTCCTTTCTCTCTTCAGTCTTCGTCTTTCTGAAGACAAACTTCATCTCACCGACGGCGTGTTGACTCCCAAACTTACGGGCCTTCCCCAAAAAACACCCCTCCCCCTGAACCACCGCGTTCACCACACAGAAACGCGAACGCCTCCCACACTTACGCGGTTCCGCCTCCTTTGGCGAACGCCACCGGGTTCCCTCACCCGGTGAAAGCTCCGGTAGGCCTCTTGCAGGACCACTTGTTGTCGCCTCGGCGCGACGCCATGGTGGTCGCGAGCCCAGGAGCCCCGGTGTCCCCACCGAACATCTGCAAAGTGTGCATAAGCTGATTAGGACTATATAAAACTCTGATTGAGGATCAAATCCCCAACTTACACTCCCGGAAAATGAACATGGCACCCTGAGTGGCTCCAGTGGCTCCATGTGCTTTAAGCGAGTCCTTAGGAGATAACCATCCCAGCGGGGTCACACCCCTGCTCCATCGAAGGTGCATCGACCTTTGAAGAAATAGCAGATCACGTCGATCGACCCCCGTGCAGGTCTGGGTGGTTCTGGTCGCACAACGTGTCGCACAACGTGTCGCAAACCATCCATGGAAAATTGGATCATTTGGGGTTGTGTCCTTATCAATCGTCCAGGAGTCGCATGTCGGGGTGCCGAACTTGGAGGAAGTCGGGGTGCCCAGAACATCCACTCACTGGATGGGACCAAACACCACCCCTTTGTGACCCCTGGGTTATAAATCGTTCTTGTCCAAGTCTTTGGGTTGCTTTGGTTCCTCGCCCTCGGCCTCAGCATCCGTTTCATCGCCTCACAGATTTGAATCTCCGATCCGATTGAATTAGGACTCGAATCTGCCACCAACCTTGCGCTACTTCGCCTCCGCCTGGATTCGAATGCAACATCCATCCATCCCATCCCATCCCATCCCATCCTTGACAAAATCGTCCACGTCCTTCGCAGTGTCTCTCAGTCTTTCTGGCTTCCCCCACGGTGGATGCGTTTCGTTCCCATAATCCTGGACCTCAGCTTCAAGCTTCAGGTCATAGGACTTGGGTGGGTGGGTGAACACTTGGGTAGGTGTGAAAACCCCGTCCCCACGTTGACTCATTTAGAACTTCCCCACGTTGACTGACGAAGCGCCGGTGAGAGAAACAAAGAGATCGTTTTGTTCGCGTGGGTCGTTGACCACCGAGGGAACGGACCGGTTGACCACCCCACAAATAGAATAGACTCTGAATAGACTGCAGACCGGTGTCTTTTTGGTGCAGACCTTAATGCCAATGCCTTTGCAGACCGGTGTCCAATACACGCCATCAACACGGTCCACCGCGCTCCCGGGTTCTTGGACCCCCAAAACGTGTGGGCGAAAGGAAACCGGCTTGATGTTCCATCCGGTCGAAGGCAGGAGATGAAGAGGTCGAAACGGCATGTGGTTCACTGGATTTTGAAGATGGAACAAGGGGGTTTCTCTCCATCACCCTGAGGTTGGACCCCACAAGGGGCCTAGCAGGGAGGGGCTCCGCACCCGAGAAAAAGAACTTCCCATTGGAGAAGGGCCCGGGATTCCTAGGGCAATCAAAATAAACTCTGAGATGTTCATTGGGTGTGTCACCTTTTCACCTTTTTCAGTATAAATTCCACCTTGGAACCACCACCCCATCCGACGCCATCTTCCGCAGATCTCAGCCGGGCCCGCAGCCGGGTTCGGACTATTGGACGGGTCGGGCTTCAGCGCCTGGGTTCCAACCTGCGCTCGAGCGGGACCACCGGGCATTTACTGCCTGGGGAAGATGTCAGATGGAGGCCACGATTTGGACATGGAGGAGGTTCAGCAACTGCAAACAAATCTGTCTCTCTCCACATGGAGTTTCGCCGTTCGGGCTCTTGAAACTCCGGCGGAACGCCGAGGAGCGACTCGGTGTCGGCCGTTCTCGTCCCCACGAAGCCCCCGACGGGATCAAACATCGCGCAGCTGGCCCGATGGCGCCCCCCGCACCATGATCACGGCACTGGTGTTGCTTTGCGCCAAGCGCGTGGACAACCTCGAAGCCGGCTGTTTCAAGGGCTTTGGAACGGGTTCATATCGTGGTGAGTGGAAAAGAGCCTGCCCAAAAGGCGACCCGTTCAGCCCCCGAAGCAGCTGCTACATGTTGCCGAAAGGTCCCAAACCCTGGTTGTGAGGTTCTTCAAAAGCTGTGGTTGAAGTGAAATGCCCAGCCGTTTGGGGCTCCAGGAAGGAGATCACACATCAATTGTCCCAGCTCCAGGCTTGCAAAGGGGCCAGTCTTTTGTTCAAAGCAATAGACCAAACATCACCCAATGGCTGTGGAGTGGTCGGGCTATGTCGGCTCATCCGGTTCAACAACCCATCACCAAGTCAATCACCCCTACATACCCCTGCAAGTCCTGACTCCAAACCTGGTCCTGAAAACCCTCCTTGAGCCGTTTGCTTTTTTGGTATGCTCAAGGGAGGTAAGTGTACCAACAAGGAGGTATAGTCTCTGATTTGTTGGTCCAACAAGTCCAACAAGTCCGACAAGTAGCCTTTTTCAGAGACAACAAGGAGGTATATGGAGGTATACTTCCAGCCGAGTCATCTACCTATAAACTTGTCATAGGTATAGGCTTATACTGTTGGTAGCCGACTTAGTCCAATAAGTCATCTACTTCTGAACAGCGCAGGTTGCCGCCCCATTCGTAGTTCTCTTGTCTGGACCGAGTCCAACCGAGCCGTCCGGGTGCCCCGGGCTGGTGCAGCAAGGCCTCGAAGGGGAAGCACCGCATGCTGGGCTTCCGACAGTCCTTGGCGCATGCTGGGCCGCCGGGACCTCGCCCTGCATAAGTGTGGGCTCATGTTGGCTCAAGGGTTGGACCTCATTTTTTCGAATGAATCATATACAGTATACAAAAGACACCACTTCAATGAGGTGCTCCACTGACCAGGAGACTGGACCTGGGTCAGACTGGACCTCTAGGGACTCAGTAAGCAGCTCCACCGAACCCTGCTCGACACCGAACCCCTTTCGGCGACTTCCGGTTCGCGTGCGCGCGCGCGGTGACGAAGAGGGTCCGAAAATTCCATCTCGTAGGGCAAGGAGAAGGAGAGGAGCCACTTGGTACCTGCGCGTGCGCGGCTTGCAAGCGGTGGTGGGGGTCGGGGGTGGAGGTGGTGCTTTCATTTCTGGCACTGTTTCAGACCCAAGTCATGGGAACTGCTTCAGTAGGGCCACTCCGAACGACGCGTACTCCAGGGTTTGGGTCTGACTCGACTTGTCAGGCGCGCCCCTTCTGAAGAACTGACCGATCTACCCTGCAGTGATTCACTGGCTCGACTCCACGATTTTTCACGAAGTGACCAGCCACCAGGCGGCCGGATCAGCATGCATCCTGTGCCGCGAATCGCTGAAGCGGAATCACTGCCGCAATTCGCAGCCCGCGAAACACGGAGGTTCAGGGCCAAACTGTGCACCAGAACCCGAGGTCTGAGCCTGTCAGGAGAGTTAGGAGCTAAGGACACGGTCTGGAGCTCCTTCTTATTTTGGAACTTTGATGAAACAGAAGGCTAGATTCAAGTGGCTCTCGTGTCCTAGCCTGCACAGTCTTGTCCCAGAGCAAGGACGTGGTGGTGCAAATCTTTGGCTCACCAAGTCTTTAATTCACACGAGACTCCGGAAAGCTTTTCTCTCCAGGGGCTCAGTCGTAGATCTTTTGATACATGCTGCGAAGGTCAATCATCATTCTTACTACCCAAAAGCCAACAATTAGACCAACGGCGGCGACGATATGAGTTGGCTCCCCCTTCAAGGCCTTCATGGTTTGCGCTGCAAGATAGCAAAGCACGGACGCTGGAAAGCTCAAATCCTTCAGGTACTTGAAGCCAAAAGTGGTTCCCATACTGCTCACTGGATCCTTAGGCGCCACCAGATATCCCCCAGACTCCCTTCGCCGCAAGTCCACTTGCAGATTCGTGTGGACCGCGTCGACTCCGGCGGTGTGCAGATTGCGCAGGAAGTCGGCGTCACTTTGTATGACAGCTCCTAGGGCAGCCTTGATCAGGGTGGATTTCTTCGACAAAGAAACATCGGGAATGTCCAAGCAGCGGATGACCTGGATGACCCTGCTCCTACAATCTCCCAGGGCGGGGCAAAGGTACCTCCTCAGGATCACTTGGCCAAACCCATGCTATCATTGCGGGGGACAGTAGCGGTGGATAGCTCAAACACCTGGATAGCTAAGACAAACGCGTCAAAGACCAAGAAACCAACACGACCCAACAATCCGGCATCATTTCAAGTGACCCAAGGGACACCTCTGCACCTCCCGAAACGCCGTTCCAAGCGCCGTTTCGAAACCGCCGTTTGGCCGGCTCCGTGGGGGGCGCCTTGATGGTCTCCATCCGTCTGCCCTTCAACTCACCCAGCTTCGCACGGATGGGCTCCACTGCCGCCAGGCACATGTTCTGCCACTTGCCCGAGGCGATCTGGTTGGCCGCGCGCAAGTGCGTGGCACAGGCCATGGTGCCACAAATGGCAATGTAAAGGCAGGAACCTTCGGCATAGGCCAACATGCAAACATACAGAAACTTCAAGATCCAATGAGAATCGTCCCAGTCAGCTCCAACAAATCCACTGAAGTCCGCGGCGACGAAGCCAGCAAGGAATGTGGTCACTGATACCAAGGTCAGCATGCCATTCATGGCAGGGCTCTCCTGCACTGAAAAATCAAACTCGATCTCCACATTGTCCTGCAGACAGGGCGCGGCCGATGGGCCTTCTCCTCCACCCTAACTTCCCGCCCCGCCAACATATTAATAGATATTAATAGTCATGCTCCTTGACCAAGCTTTGGGAGAAATAACAACATCCCCAGCTTCAAAAGGTCATTTCGGTGCCGATGGCTGTCCTCATCTTCAAAAGTTCGAAACATCTCACGACTGTTGCAGCGCACGATGCCTGTCCGGCTTTCTTCTAGGAGGCGCTTGACCAGATGATCCTCCAGCAAGGGCGAAGCGTCCTCCATGTCGCTTCTCATTGCAGCAGAACTAAGGAATGGTCGCAGTTGCAGGATGCCAAAACTATGGGAGATGCTATGAAGCTCTACTACGGACATGCAGGACAAATGAAGTCCGTTCGTTCTTGGGATTGGTTATTATAACTCATCTGGATGGTTCAATCCAAACTCTCACTGGGGCGTAGTCCGCAAGTGCAAGTTCCTCATAAAAATAGCGGCTTGCGTTCCTCATGTCCAAGCCCTGTTTCAACCAATTGGACTTCCAGGATTCAAATTCCTTAAGCCTCATGCGGCGTATGCGTCAAGAATTCGAGCTTGAGCCACTCCTTTGAGCTCGTTCTGTTGGACGGCACGTGGGGTGGGTGGGGGCAATTCTTTAGGGAGACGAGGCGAACAGGATATCCCTGAGTTCGAAACCGCCACAGGGTTGGCATTCTTGGCAACTCTGCAAAGCATCAGATTGCTAGTGAACTCACGAGATCTCACGAGCAACAAGGATTGCATCTCGTCTACGATGTGTCACGTTCCCCTGAAAAGTATCCGGAACCAACCAATATCCGACCCGGTTCATGCCCACTCAATTCCACTCGACATTGCTTGTTCGGGAGACCTCCCTCAAGGTGGATTCACAGGCGCTTCTAACTTCGACACAGCATCTTTCATCAACATCTTCAGGTCTGTTGGCCATGCCACCACCCCAACCAACGCGCGACCCACGCCCAAGACCGGACCCCCCTTGATCCCGTGCATGCGAAGCCGGTCGCCCTCATCGACCGTCACACGCGCACGTGGCATGTCTTCGAAGTCCCCAAAGACCGGCGAGCTCCATTGATCTCGGCCGCGGCGACCCAGAGCACGACGCATTCGGCCACACGACGACCGACGGCCGGCGAGACCGACTCCGGCGGAGAAAACCCAGCTGGTTTGCGGGGGAGGGGGCTTGCTTTCCTTTCCGGCCGAGTCCTTTGGGAGCAAAGAGGGATCCGACCCTCGGATCCTGAAACAAAAAGGAAAGACCACTCCAGTCCCACTCGTCCCCATATCTGGGGAATATGACCGGGAAGAACGAGCTTCCGGGGATCTTGACTCATGGATATTGTGACCGCACCTGGATCCATACGGGTCCTAAAGAGAAGATCGCTTCGTGGGACCTCTTTCTTTTCACCAGGATGTGGAAGGAAAAGGGATTTCAAACCCAGAACTGAGGGAAGTCAATCCATCCACCACTAACCAGGCTGGTGTAGTTCATGAGTCATGGCTGGACTCTCGGGGAAATAGTGACTATAGTGGGAAGAGGCCATTGGAAGATGTTCTTCCATGTGGCACATCCATACTCAGAACTATTGACAAAGTCCCCAAGACTGATGGCCCACACTCAGGATTTGAGGCAAGAGACCTGAGTAGGGTCTCTAGACTTGCTTGAAAGACCTTGGGGGCCAACGGGGCCAAATCTCCCTTCCAGAAAGCCCGTGTGAGACATGGTCCTTCCTTCGTCGGTGGAGCAGCACGGGTGAACCCTTCTGGTCAACATGAAGAAGCCACGGAGGAGGTCCAATGGAGGAGGTCCTCCTCCATGGCGCCATGGTGAACCCTCACGCTATGGAGGAGGTCCCATGTCCAAGTCGATGTTCATGAGGTGGCGCCTTTCATGAGCCTGTTGGCACTTTCTGCTCTCAAGCTGCATGTGAACACACCCATGAATCCACCGGTGGTGTCCACCCACGCACCCGTTCCCGCCGGTGGGGACGTTCGCCCGGGACGCCTATGCACTCCAGCAAGGTCAACAGCTTGGCCTCAACCTGGAAGTGCAGACTTCGGCGCCTTTTTCGTCTTCTTGCGCTCAAACTAAGAAGAGTTACAGGGAGCGGTGCGCAGTGTTAAACATACCAAACCACGCCGGCGTTCGTGTGCGTAATTATTTGGGCAAAGAAGAAAAAGGGACAGGCCCCTTTGAAGGGATGGGGTGGACGGTGGATCCTATCTTCGGTCATTACAGCCACTTGAAACTCACAACACTTGAGGCACTCATGGAAGATTCCATAATGAGTTCATCTGATGGTTGCTTACTATACACCGAACCCAGCCAGTTAGGCGAGGGGGACCTACTACATGCTGCCAATGCTGGAGATAGATCCAGGTGAATAGCTGAAAGAGCTGCTTGGAACTGCACGTAAGCAGCCATGACCACATAAGTAGCTATTTAATTTGGTTCTATGGTGTCGTCTCCGGATCACAGTTCACTTGCCAGATGGAGGATCTTCACTGACAGTTCTGCGGAATATCCGCGATGTTGCTCCCAGCTGCATTTTGGCTCAGTCAGTGAGAGCAGCTCAGGGCCTATGGCCCACCCCAGCAGCTGGAGCAGCTCTGTCACACCACACCCATCCTCAGCTCTACGGGGATTGTCTTGGCTATATCCCAACCTCCCAGGGCTCAGTGGCCGACATCTCAAAAAGGACTGGGAAGACTGGTCTCCTGGGACACACCATATACATCCCGCCTAGGTTTCTAGATGAAAAGGCATACAATTCTGCACAGTTGAGCTTGATCCAGGTCAAGCTCGTCCATGAAAGCTACCCCTCACCTCACACCGGTCCGTCAATGCCCCGCGCGGCGCGCGACCGTCACCGCGAATGCCACCGGGAGCCCCGTGCCGCGTGCTGCGTCCAGTCGATCTGCGACAAGTCGAGCGGCACGAGCAAAGGCACCTGGAGCAGCGGCAGGAGGTGGAGCTGAGCACACCGAGTGGAAGCTGAACTTCCTCAACATAGTGCTAAGATGTGCTAAGATGTGCTCAGGCTGAAGAACAGGGTCTTGTGTCCATCCACCCTAGAAACCAACACGTTCTCGCCAATGACAGTAACTGGGCTCGGACTTTGAGGGCCTCCAGGGAGAAGATCGATCAAACACAAACCTCATCAAAGATGAGCCATTCGTTGCTTCCCAAAAGTCTTTTTCCCTAGAAGTCCAGTTCGACGACGATTCGGGGGACCGACCGAAGTGTTCAGGAAATTCCTAGGCAAAAGGGTCTCCCAGTCAAACCATTCTAAAAAATGGTCCGCTGGACCTCCCAAACACCCCCTCCTCAAAATCCCTCCGCCTTCATCTGGAGGGCCAAATACCCTGGAAATTGCTGGAATATGACTGGACCCTCAAATCCCTCAAATCTCGGGTCTTGGAGACCGGGAAAGGCCTTATTGGCCACTCCGCCCTTTCACAGACCCTCCCCACGCCACCGCCACTCCAGAGCGCCGGTGAACCGGCGCCGCGCCGCCTTCCGGAGCGCCGGCGCGGCGGAGCCCGCGATGCCCTGCTGGCACACCTCGGTGGAGCCGGTGGAAGGAACGCCTTCCGTTGGAAACCGAGACCCAGCGGGGGGCCTTGACCTGGGCTTTGGGAGTGTTAACAGTCCGTCAAAAAGATGGAAAAAGAGACAAACCTGGCGTGCTTTCGGTTTGACACCCTTGAACCAATGGTGGACCAGGAATCTGATGGGCTTCGGCTTGGCCAAAAGAATCCAAGCGAAAATCGATCGAAGTCAACATCGCCGATGATGGAAGTTCCAAATCCGATGTTGTACGTTGGAACAGCTTTGATGTGTCTTTCCCCTTTAAAAGAAAAAATCTACGGATTGTTGGAAAACAGCAAGCCCAAAATTGGGCAATCAATCTGTCCGCCAACGGCTTTCTAAGCATCGTGCCCAAGCCAAGATCACCTCCAGCATGGCTTTGTACATGGAGTAGCTTTCATCTTTGGGCTCCAACCTGAGGGGGCCCCCAGGCAGTTGTGGCCCGGCCCGGCCCTGTTCGCCGTGAAGGAGGTCGACTCGGGACGTGGTTTGAAATGGAAAAGTCTCTGATTTTTTGCTTTCAATCAGTTCCGGATCCTGCAGCATGGTTCGACTAATCTCAACCTGGTTGAAACTAGCCTTTGAAGAGCTCGGAACGAATCTTCAACATGATTCAACTGATGGTGCCTCACCTTGCCAGCCAAGGGAATACCTTTTAAGCTACAAGCTTTTCTCCCATGCACTGAGCCTGTTCACAAATAGACCCTTAGGAAATCTCCATGTCTCTGCAACATCTGCAACTATTGGGTTCGTCCCGTCTTCTTTTCGATCTAGCTGGCATCCCAGAAAGACCGTTCAACCCCATGTGCAACACTTGGAGAAGGATCATGCGCTTCGCTTTCGTCTGTCGTCATGATGAAAAGCTCGACCAGGTTGGCACCAGGCTTCTGTCGTCTGTGATCACCAGGTTGGCACCGGGGCGCTTTTCTGGAGTTGGCCAAATGCTGCCAAGGACTTGGTGAAGCGTAACTTGGTGAAGGGATTGAACCCTTCCACCGAACCCCCTGAACCGAAAACCGGGCGGATCTCGGATAGACTAGTCTCTGAAGGAAAAGCCATGCGGCTGACAATCTGACTGCACCAGCGGTAACAAGTGGAAAAGGTCCAAGGAGAGGTCTAAACCTCAGTGCCACGACATGGAGCTGGGCATTAAATGGGTTCGTCTTCCTACGGAGGTGGAGCCTAGGGTCGGACCTTTCATGTCGACTCATTGGAAGCCACACCTGGCAGTCATGCTCCACCCCAACGACTTGTTCGCGGTGGGGGTCGTCTATGTGTCATCACTGGACTTCCAGATGAGGAATGTTGTGGTCATTTTTAACCCTTGAAGCAGCCATTGGTCAAGCCATGTCAAGCCGGCATCATGTTTTGAGCTTATGAATTGAGACAGAAGATGCCAGACCCAGACCCGACATGCCTGGACATCGAGATGGTTTCCCTCTTCGTGATCGAACGACGTTCACCCAGTCACCCAGTGATGTTGATTTGGCTGGGCCCAGAAGTTGCGCTCCTTTGGAGGTCCATCTATCATTTCCTGGTGACAAAAAGATGAAAGACATATTCATATCCCGTGCAAAGCATGATCGGCATGCGTGGTCCTGGTTCATCGACAAAATCCAAGACTTTGAGAGGTTAGCTTCCCCACTGACCCACGCCCAAACAGCAGTAACACTAACCCACACCCAAACAGCAGGTGGCATTGGGGAAAGCCAC